AGGAGGCAACAGTGACGCCATCCAAAAAATTAGTGGTGCTAATAATGACTAATTCAAGCAACAATACTGGCTTACTGACTATTATGACTTGCTCTCAGTAGAACTGGCCAAATGATAATTGAAAAGGAACCACAAATTCACTGTCCTACGGTTTCAACACTGATCTTTATGCAGCCTACTGTCAGGATAAGCTGGAACTTTACTATTTACCTTAGTAAGTTTCTAGGCCTTAGAAAAGTAAAAAAAGCAATCCCGATTCTCTCCATGTGACTGGCAGCCATCTTTCGAAAATGAATGATACACTGGTGTAAACAGCACTGTTACATCAATGATGGACTTACACTCTGTATCATACTGATGAAGATTCATTAGTGTAGTATTACATTAAGTATCTTTTTTGTATACAGCAACGTATCAGACCGGGGTTAAATCATGAGTGAATCAGGACTGTAATCATTAAAGTTACATTAATGTTAACTTTACAGCTCAGTATCATAATGTAATTTCTTGGCTGTGTAGTATAGTGTTAACAAGGTGTGAAAATGTGATTGTGTGATAGAGGCATGCATGTACAAATAATTAATAATTAGTAAATGTAAATGAACAATAATGTTTTGAGATACTAATTAATTAATCCTATCCAGTCTCAAGGTGTAGCCTTGAGACTGAATATGAGAGAGGAGAGAGTCACCCTATGTATACTGACAGTCATTGCGGAAGAGAAAGAGATGGATCCAAACTAGAGTCTAAACTACATACATAGCCAAGAATTTTACTTTGAATCATGACTGATATCAATAGGATCAGCCTTGATACATTCCTGTATCATAGATTTTGGGTCGCCTGCAAAGCAGTGAGTCTAGTATGTATGATACAATCATGATGACCATCCATGATACAACCATGCTGGAGTAAGGCCCTGGTTCAGCCAGAGCAAACAGACATGATTCAACATTGATGCCAGTCAGGGCGGTATCATAATAGACATCAGGCTTGAATCATTGATTTTGGGTAGTGGCCTGTATCAGAGATAATAATTCTTGGCCATGTACACAGTAACTTGCAGGATAGAGCTGATCACTAATCAGTCCATGGTGGGCTAGCTTATATGTGTCCTGGCAAAGATGAAGCAGACCATCTTCATGTCAGGAGTTGAGACACCAATCTAAAAGTGCAGGGGGAGGCTCATTTTCATTAATTCAATTATGTTTAAAATAATCCAAAAATATGGTGTGTTCATCAGTTATACTAATAAACTCCTTAGCTAAATCAAAGTTATCAGTAATTTGCTTATGTAATAGTAAGCAATGAATTGAGGCAGCTGCTATAACACTAATAAGCTAGCTAAATTAATAGCATCCTCTAATAACATGAGTAATTAAAAATGAGGGCAGTGCCCCTCTTGCTGCCTTGCATCAAAATTTAGAGAGGCTTTGCTCTTCGCATGGAGGCTGCAGCAAAATTGGGGGGGGGGGCTCTGCCCCCTTCATCAAAGGAAGTGGATATTGGTCCGGCAGCCGGACGCCTACTGCGCGGCTATAGATCCGGCAGTCCGTTGTTCTCCGTAAAACAGCTTGTGCGCATGCGCAATAGTGCAAAATGGAACTTAGTCTTTTTATCAAGAAACCCTAATCCCAAAACCCTACAATCCCGGAGGCTAAGATGTACGAGAGGGTGCTCTAAAAACTAAACACTAAACCCCAATCCCAACCCTACGACCCCGGAGGCTAAGATGTACGAGAGGGTGCTCTAAAAACTAAACACTAAACCCCAATCCCAACCCTACGACCCCGGAGGCTAAGATGTACGAGAGGGTGCTCTAAAAACTAAACACTAAACCCCAATCCCAACCCTACGACCCCGGAGGCTAAGATGTACGAGAGAGTGTTTATTTAAAAAAAAAAGAGTAAAAAAAAGTGAAAAAAAAAAAATCAAACATTTCAGCATAGTTTTAGTCAATAGTCCCGACAGGATTCGAACCGCTGACCCCATCCGTGCAATCCAGACCAGCCTCTCCACTACACCACCGCAACCCTGCTGCATCAACGTTGCTGATTGTCGTATTTATACTTGATATCTGTATATAAAATCGTGTATTAGTATACTGGGGCGAAGCCCCAGTATACTATATAGGGACTGCCGGACCAATAGCCGCGCAGTAGGCGTCCGGCTGCCGGACCAATATCCACTTCCTTCATCAAAACTGGGGGGCTGAACCCCCCTTGCTCCCCAGATTCTCAACCACTGCATGTTGAAGAAGTTGAGAGCTGCCCAAGAAGAGAAGGAGCAGTTGAAACTTCTGGCGGAGAGTGGAGCTGGAAGTGAATCAACGAGGGAAATGGAAGCTCTAGAAAAAAGATCTGACGTCGCGGATCATGGAAAGCAGATTGTCTGAGCTACGGAGGGAACTGCCTGACTGAACGGCTGCAGGCCGTTGAGCTAGAGCAACAGAAGTGGGAGGCCAGGGAAGCTCGATGGCTTAAAGAGAACAGCGAGCTGGAGGCGAAGGAACCATAGATAAGACGTCGATAACGTTATCTGCCCGGGCTCCTTGGCCGACTAGACAGGGACCGAGGGAGCGGTAGAAGGATCTGTCTTCCCCATTCATGATGCTCAACAGTTACCAGTGCTGCCGCCCTAGGATGCTGAAGAAGAATCGTTTGAGGAATGGGTTGACCGTCTCGAGGACCATCAAAACTAGTTAACACAGCTCATAGCTTCGATTGAGGGTGGAGGGCCCCGCTATAGATCCTTCTACAAGTACAAGTCTTACAGTGGGTCTGAGAAGAGGAGCTATGATGCTCTGAAACCAGCTCTTGCTAAAAGATTTACTCCTGTTCGACTGACAGCAGTACAGACCAGTATGTTTCACCAGGGGAGACAAGCTAGGTTTGAACGAGTCAGCTGAGAGTATGCTTAGGAGTTGAGGAAGTTATTCTATAAAGCATATCCCCCAACCTATCATGGGACTCCAGAAGCAGAATTATTAAGGAAGGGTGTTCTCTCTAATCAATTTGTTGTAGAAGGGAATTTCGAGGAGTAGGTGTGTAAGGCTCGCTTGAAGAGGCAAAGTGGAAGGAGACAAACCTTGGGACGGAAGAGAAACCAAGGGGAAAAGAAGCCTCCAAGGAAGCCTAGTGATGACTCTGAAGAGAAATAAAGGGGGCTACAAGTGCCATCGATTTGGCAGTACACAACACTTTATTCGTGACTGTCCATTCAGAGGATGGGGAGCAACAAAAGAAGCCAGAGGTGCTGAGAGTGAGGATTCTAACAAATACGGAAATCACGTGGCTCAACTCTATGTCAGTCTCCAGTCCCTACAATACTACAAAGAAGTCAGTTTCTCTCTTTCTCCTACTTTTTAATATTTCATGTTCCTTTGTTTTCATTAGGTGAGACATGCTGTCTGGAACATGATGTGCTCTACTAGCTTCATTTGGCTCCTGAACTGATTCTGTGTCCTCTGGTTGGAGTCTTATTTTGGAAATGGTATAGGTTCATATTACATGTACTATAATCTTGTTATGTCGTCACGACAAGACTATAATTTCCCACCCTATGCCTCCCCTTGCATGATTAATATTGTGTTATGTCTGCATGTGCATATGTCACTTCATGTAATAATGCATTTACATTTGCTTTTGACTATCTGTATACACATTAATTTTGTTCCCTAATTAAGATTGGTTTAGAACTTGCTCTTTGTGTGTCTTGTAAATTTTAAGATTCAAATTTAAATTTTAAGATTCAAATTTAAATTTTAAATATTCGATTTTAAAATAAAATTCAATTTTAAATTTACAAGTTGTTTGTCCTAATGTTATGATAAGATCATGTTAACTTGTATTCCTTTTCTTTTGATTAGGAGAGACTGATATAATCTGCCCTGCTAACTGTGATGGCCAGTCATGATCCCTGGCCGTGATCCAAAGGTATTGTACAGGAGCCAGACTGTGAAACAATTTGAGAGCTGCATGAGGACGGTATCAAATTCATCAGAGAAACCAGCAGATAGCTGTGTTATCCATGTGACATCCTCCCATGTACAATTCGTGTCAGTCAATCCCAGTAAATGTCCAAGAAAAAACCAATATGATTGTACTATCATTATGGATACCAGCTAAGTGATAAATCAGGAGCGCAACCTTTTTCATGGGCTCCTGCATAGTTGTACTATGCATCATACATCCCTTTGCATGTGTACATGTAGTCCCGTTCTTTCAAACAAAATTTGAGAGTTTGAGATTGTACCCTTATACATTGTCTTATACAGATGAGTGGTGACCCTTTACATTAGCTACTACACAGTAATATTGTACCATTCCTATACCTGTCATTGTTTGATGCTTCTTCCTTTAGCTTAGGTTCGTCTCTACTTACTAATTCGACAAACGTTCGATCAGGAAGTAACCAAATAATGCATTGTTTTATAGTGTGTATTTTGTGTATCAAGCAATGACATATGTCTTCATATGTAGCATTTCAAGAATAGGAACTGTTTATCCGCATCCTATTACATATGTGCATAGTCACGTGTTTGTCATGATTGGATCACTCTCTCTGCTTTCTGAAGCATGCTAGAAGACTTTGATATTTGCACTCATTGAGGTACCGTTTGTCATCATTAGTCATGAATGACTGTGAGAGCTTATCAATCAAGAACAGATTTATTCGGAAGACATCAGCCAGATCACTGTGGAGATAGAACTCCCCACTGTTTTCATAACACTGTGGCTCAGGCATCACTACTCTACATTTCTCCTGTCAGTTTACAATGGGATCGTTTCTCTATTACTAGCTATCTTCCAGTGGGGAGAGGAGAAAGGAGGGGAACAAATGAAATGGAGGGGAGAGAAGAACTTATCCTGGATTCAACGAAGACATGAGTATATTATTTCACAGTATGGGTTGAGCTACCCTTTTTTACAGTGACCTGCTTTTAGTCCCGATCATGTGAGAGGGAAGGGGAGGGTCAGCGGAGGGGAGAGGGTTTCGCCCAGGAGTGTGTGAGAAAGGAGTCCCCCTTTTGGTTGGGATTGAGGCACCCAGTATCTCATGCTTGGAACCCTCTCTTCTTCTCTATCACTCTCTTTCCTTTTTGTGTGTTATGGACTCTAAACAGAAAAAAGGATCAGACTTTTTCTTTTTTTGTCTTGATCCTTTAACTACAGGACTTACCACTATTGTCATATCATGCATCACTACTCTACACTTCTCCTACAGTTTACAATCGGATCAGTCCTCTATAACTAGTTGTCTTCTGGTGGGGAGAGGAGAAAGAGAAGAACAAAGCCTATTCACAGTGGGTGGATTGGGAAGGTCTGTGATGAGGGTTGTTGATGGACTTGGGCACCAGCTTCCTAAGTCTCATTCTCTTTCTCGATACTGTGAAAGCATTGGGCTTAAGCTCATTTGTTTATAGTGTTCGCCTTTGAAAATAAGTCAATAGCTCTCATTGTAGGCTTATAATTAACATAACGTAAAATTTACGTACACGTGATCGGACATTTTGATGCAAATGACGCTTTAAAGTTGACACGATATTATAGCGAAATTTCAATTCTGCGTTGCATTTTGTAGTGAGTGTTTATTATTTTATAGCCAACACAAGTTATTTCATAATTATCATTATTGTGTATTATTAGTACAATAAATATGAACATTGTGGTAGATTGTTAAGATTATTCTTATTATGTTAAGGTTTTAGAGGTTATAATAATAGACAAGGGTCATATACAGTAAAATGATAGGAAGCAATAGTAATAGATTATTAGTTAATGGTATGGTATTTAGTATTAAGTTAAGTTGTCTTATGTTATGTGGTCATACAGCATAAGTTGTAGGTAGGTAATGT